ATTTAACAAACAGATTAATTTTAACTGTGTTATAAAATCATTGAGTAAGTCTCGCTCTCGTTTTTTACATTCAACCCATCAAAGATAATCAGTTGGAATGTACTTAATTAAGGCATTGAAAATCATATTGGTCTTTTAATGTTTCACTAGGAAATAAAAAGATAATAAATCCTGATATATATTTTATTGAAATCTGAATATGTTACTAATGCCGACAAAAGAGGAAAGATAAATACAACAGACATTATTTAGTTATATATATATGTATGTGTATACAGAAGAATTTTAGAACGATTTATGTGCCGTATATTTAATGTTTAATATGTAAAGAGAATTTAATGTTCTATCTGATAGCCCTTTTTCTGGACTATGAGTCTGCATCATTATTATTATGATAGATGTTCTTTTCATAAAATTTCCAGGGATATTGACTTCCATTATTCTTCTACTACTTTCCACGCTCATTCCATCGTGGTGAATCACCAGATCTAAGCACATTAATTCCTAACTCTTGCATTCAACCGCGATGCAGTTTTGGTAATTAGATGAAATTTTAGTCTAATCACAAGAACTGCATCATAAATAAAGCGACATAACTTACGATATTTTATGTTCAGTTAGATAATTTTAATATGCATACATGCAAGCAATCGCATAAAAAAGGTCCAATGACTTTTTAAAATCCATTTTGCTCTAAACAGATCACGTGTCCCATTTTCTAGTAGAAATGGGCAACATCTTCAAAGCGCATATCTAAAAGACATAGTGACACATTAGTGGCGCAGTTAACGAACTACAGGCATGTTAAAAATAAGTCAAAGGCTAGTTACACATTTTTCGAACAATTTCGGGGTAGTTTAGTTAATAGTCAGAAGCCTTTTTTTTAGACTGTGAGACTATAAGGCACTTCTAACGCCTTCTTAACATGCCTTCGTTGTGTAGTGGTCAGGACGCTTGGCGCTTATTCGAGAGGATGGTGATTCGAGTCCCGGCGAGGGTAATGCTTTTTTTTTCTCCTCTTCTGCTTCAAAAATATCCTAATGTCTCTACACTGGCACCCAAACTAAAAACAAAGTGGTGGATGATGATTATCCACAACCAGGATTTGGCGATTGAGTCCCCTAATCCCCAGTTGCCCTGTAAAAGGGGAGTATATAAGATATTTCTCTCGCCCTCTTAGCATAATTTCGTGGTTTAGTGGTAAGCACACTCGAAGCGCATTCGAGAGGCCCATGGTTCGAGTCCCGGCGAGGGCATCGATCATTTCTCTCATTTCCTGCTTCAAAAAAGTATTCAAAAAGTATTCTACAAGCCTGCGTCATGATTTCTATGATAGAAAAGAATTTCATAAAATTTTTGGAGGTGCTGATTACCATTCTTTTTTCGTCTAGTAAACGCGGTCGGGAAGCATAATTAGGGTCTGATTATGCTAGCTCAGGGACTTTGAAAAATGGGCTTGAAAATGACGAAGTAACATGACTTGTTTAGTTTTGAGACTGTTTTTTTATGAATAATCTTATGACTTTGGATTTGTAATGCTAACGTTTGCTATTCATACGCATTGTATGTAGTAGAACTCCAATGTTCACCGTGCCTTTAGAGTGCATTCGATGCGGGAGAGTGTTCAATGGATGTGTGTATAAATAAATGCGTATTTTCTATTCGAAATCAAAATTCAAGTTGTACTAGTGATGAGAGGAAATATTAAAGGGAATTAAAAGAATGAGAGAAAACATTATTCTTAGCATTAAAATGATTGTTTTCATTCTAAAGAAACTGGAAAGTGTGTAAAAGTATAAAAAGGAAAATAATTTGAAAGTTGCGCCAAGAATCAAAACGAGTAAACTTCGTAAAAGTGCAAACACGATTTGCAGTTACATTCTAAAAACCTATAATCGATTAAAACAACTTGCATTCTTTTCATTTCTATGCTGAAGAACTTTGAGATCGATATCAACGTAATGCTTTTGACGTGGCAAAATATAGTTTAAAAAAATGTTGCAAATATTTTCACTGAAGTGATGAAACTGTGGCTTAATTGAAAACCGCGGTAACGCCTTAATGTTTGTTTTTTAACTCAAGTAACATATAAGCAGAGAAACAAGATTTACAAGTTTAACATTCTTAGCACGGAAAAAATACCTTTCAGGTTGTTTCTCCGATGTCTTTCGTTTTATACTAACGTCTTTGTTTTAGATGGTAATCGAATATTTAAATTCATTTAAAGTTTACTTTTGTATTACCTTCGTTTAGCTTAATAATTTTGAAAATAATTTACGATTATTTGAACTTCAGAATTAACTCATTTGCATAAGGGAGACACGCAGCTAATTATTAAAGCTGGGCACCAAGACTTTTAGTAATAAAACTAAGCAAAGTTTTAGTCATATTTCTGTGACACATTTTGAAACTCCATAATGTCGAAGTTTGGCAATAGATGCCAAATTTTATTACATTTAAATGGAAGCAAATTTTCTTGCTCAATGTATCCATCTTTATTGATACTGTAGACATCTGAGCTGTAATCTATTTCGCTATCTCGGCATTATAATATGATAAGGTGGACCAAAGAATCAACGATACAGTTTCAAATATTTTAGTTTAACGAGGAATGGAGACCAAAAGTCAGTATCCTTGTAAACCCTCTCAAGCGCTTATGACGCGGAATTAAATGAGGAGAATGGAGTAAGCAGCTAGTTTGTAAAATCATCTTTTTGTCCTTTGAAATATATACATTTTGTAACAAATTTTGACCGAGATATCCTCGTAAATGTTCTTTGGGGCTCATTTCAGAGACTCTAACAAATGGTCTCTGGGGAAGAACACTGGAAAACAGTTCCTGTTGTAAGATGTAATAATTACAGTTTTCAATCAACTATGGCCTGTAGCATCTGTCAAGCTTCCAGTATGTCCAAGCAAATCCTCTGAGCAAGCAGCATTTGTTTCCCGCATCAGCAAAAGCATACATGCTGATAATTTGTGAAGTTCCTAAAAAGAAAGGATTTAGTATCGTAAAGTTTTGCATTGGTTGTGTTGTGGATTTATAAGGTATTCAAAACACTTTTCACGGTATGGTAAAAAAAACCTGTATGTATGTTTAAAATGTTTCAAAATACATATCGACAGCCGTAAGGCCATACAATCCGTTAACATCTGATTTTTGCAAAACCGGCAACTGTTTGCACATATGCATTGTTTGCACATATTATTGCATTGTTTACACATATGTTTGCACATTAAGTGCAGTACGAGCTCGTGCACTGAAAATAACCTTTCTGCATATGGGCGTTTATAAAGTTAGTATTCAATACTTTTTTAAAATTATCACTTGCAGAAAATAAGTTCATTATTTTATAAAATTTTACTTTGATAATATTTGATTGATTCGGGTGTTTAATGGTTGTCTAAACGCCGTTGACGGTCATTGAAATGTTACCACCAATCACTGAAATATTTAATTTGTGTAGCTTTTAAACCGTTTCAAATGTCGAAGCAATTCTTTCTAATGATTTTAAAAGCCACGGGAAAACTAAATAAACATATTATGTGCATAAAAATTTAAGAACTATAACTAGATCAAATTTTACAAGTAATTATAATAGATTGAAGAAGCAGACTACGTGTAAAATTTTTCTGTTCTGTTTCGAAAGGCGAACAATTCAGAACGATGGGAATATATTTATAATACGAAAATAAAAACAGGTATTGTTGGCTTTTAATTTTATCCTGCCATTGATATGACTGCATATAAAGTATTTAGGATTTAAACTTATGCATTTTATATGCCTGTCTGGTATACGAGGAAAATGCTTGCAGGAGGGAAAATATATGGTTATTACTTACCTTATTTAAATTTCTGCTTTTTCTATGTGGGTTAACATAAAATGAAATGTAAAAAATTACCATTTATTACTTAGCCTGATAACACGCAGTAGCAGCTGGTTAATAGTGCCACACGAAGCTGCTAGTTTTGTTCACCTCACTATTAATGAAGCAGAAGACAGGAACTTAAATACTTTATTCGTATCTTAATATAACAATGAAATCTCAACCCATTTGACGATAAAAATACGATTATTACTCAGCACTTTATAAAATACGAAGGGAATAAGTAAAATGTATCATTGTCATCAATATGAATTATTAGCTGTCACATATCACTCTAAGACAAGATACAATTAACAACCGAAAATGTACTATTTTTATTAAATAAACGTGTTATACTTTTTTTCTGTTGGCAATATACGTATATCTTCATAACCATTTTTTTTCATAATTACCTACTTTCGAACCGTTATGGCTAAATATAGGATAAAACCATTTCCTCACTATTTATTTAAATTTAAGGAGCAAAAGCACGAGTATATTAAAAAGAAGAGGAAGCTCAATTTTCATTTATTTTTTACAATAAATATTTTTCTACCCATAAAGGCTTTTAAAAATGTATCTACTAATCACCGGACCTGACTCCCACAGAGCATCTATGGAACATGTTGGGACGACAGATAACAAGTCGTAGTGTGACGCCAGGCACTTTCCACGAGCTCCAACATACATCAATAACGGAATAGGCTCTACTGCCCCAACAAGAGATCAGTGACACTATTGCTGGCGTCCTCGCTGTTTTCAAGCATGCATTTCAGCTATAGGGTATCATGCTCATTATTAGCGTGAAGTTCCCATTATACTTTCTTCCTAAATATTTGGTGTTTCGCGATGTAATGGTTGAAATTCATGTGGTTTGTATGTCTTTGCTTAATAGTTTGCTTTGTAGTCTACTAATGCCCACAGCAACCTCTTGAGTCAACTTCACGCATGTCCATTAAATAGTTTTTGTTATATTCCGTGTTTTGACGTTTTGCTTATCTTTTGAACAGAAGTGTGTATTAATTTATTTACTAGATAAGGATATTGAAAAAGTTGTATAAATTAGTTTTTGTCAATGTGTCCTTATGTAATTTCAAAAGTGATTATGCCTACATCTTTTTCCCAATTCTCAGAATTGGAATAGTTAACTTCTACATATGAACATGAAGATGTAAAAAGGAGCTATGTGACAAAGGACAAATATTACAGGAGCAACAAAAAACTATCCCGTTCCTCACAAGAGTGTCAGAAGTCAACAATTATGAGATCGTTGTAAGTAAGTTCCATGAAAAGTGAAATTTAAATTATTTGAAAGTTCAAGTGAATAATAATAAATAATTTTTATGCAAAATGGGCACTGAAAGATAAAATAATAAAGTAATACAATTTAATAATTTCAATATAATTTATTAATCATAATTATAAAAATAATTTCATTGCAAAATATAGGGAAATTTGCAGAACAATTTATGATTAATCACAAACATTTTTAGGACCTTAGATTCATACTGGCAACTTTAAAAAAATATCGCAAGATTAGCCTTATATACTACATAACAAAAATATTTTTAGTTATATACCAGTAATGAAACTTAAAACAAGTTAAGTAAAAAAGCATTATTAATAATTTTTATTAGTTTCCTCTAGTTTAATCAGCGCCAATATTTGAGATCAAAATTTCCCTTAATGTGGAAGGAGACGGCATAAATCATATTATATAGGTGCTTATATTTTCATTTAATTGAAAAAATATTCTAAATCGAAACTGGTTATTGGTACTGAAAACCAACTAAGAGTTATATTATTTAAAAGTCAAAAACGTTTTTCAACATTATTCCTTCAGTTTAACAAAACTTAAAAATAAAAAAATTGAGCCTTTGATTTGAATTTTGGAGTTTTAATTTTCACATAATTTTTTATATAATTTATATTGGAAAGTTGGTTTAAAGATATTAGTAAATACATTCTAACTGTTAAACTGAGTTTAAAAAATAGTAGAAAAATTCTAAAATTTGTAGAAAAATTGACTTATCTTAGAAAATACTGTACAATACGAAGATATCTTAGAAATATATCTTAGAAAATCTTATATCGATATCTTAGAAAATACTGTACAATATCTTAGAAAATATCGATATCTTAGATATACTTAGATATCTTAGAAATATATATAGCGATATCTTAGAAAATACTGTACAATACGAAGGAATTCATTTCTCTATAAAGTTACTTGCTAAAAGCTAATCATAAACTAATCAGTCATAAAGCTAATCGAGCTTATTGTCATAAAGCAAATAATGAGTGTCATTAAGAGCTAACCATAAGCTAATTGTCATAAAGCAAATCATGAGAGTCATTAAGAACTAATCATAAGCTATATTGTGATTACTCATAGTTTGGAAACATTCTCTGAAGAGTGAAATGGGCATAATTTTTTTGGATTATTTCAATAAATATTTTATTTGAATTACTCTAATGTTTTCGCTTAAATTTTTATTTCTTGCAGCACATGGACTAATTCACATGTTGTTTATGGAATTTTTATTTTATAAGCCATGTGATATAAAGTAAATTATAATAAGAGTCGCTAATGGACAAAACACTGCGAAACGCAGCAACATTTCAGCCGAAGAAGGAGTATAGTTGGTACTGAGGGTGTAACATTTGAACAGTGATTGAATTTTCAGGCAATAAATCTAGTGATCAAGATGGCCAAAACACCTCTAAATTCAAAACTTCACTTAAATGTATTTGATGAAAATATATATATTTAAAGAAATAAAATCCGAAAAATATGCTGGAATGCTTATTCGTTTCTCATATTCAGCGGATATATTTTTGTCACTGCAAAACTCAACGATGCAAAATCCTCAAAATTTAGAATAATTTTGCCACACCACTTATGTAATTTTATTTATTAAGTAATCGCAATATAAATTTGCAATTCAAAATGTTTACAGTCACACTAAGGTTTTAAAAATAGTATTTTTCTAGATTGCTTTTTTGTAATAATAGAAATGCTGTTACATAAATATAATTAACAAATTAATACCAGGAGAAAAACAGTTTTTTTATTTCGTTTAGGATAATTAAGTAATATTCGAAATTACATTCATAAATTTTGGAATAATTAATTTTCGTAGCATAATAGTTTAACTAAATTCTTAGTCTCAGTTAACTGTATTTATTTAATAGTTTTATTATTGTGTTTGTATAACGTGTCAAATACAACGGAAATTTCAATCAAAGTCTTTACATTTACATAAAAAAGAGCTCACAGTTTATTGAACTTTCGAAAACTGCACATCCTCAAGTGAATTAAGTTTTTCCCTTATTCCTTTTCTTCAGAAAACTAATTACGTATTATATAATGAGTTACTTTTCAGAAAATTTTCGTTTTTACCTGTCAAAACATCATGATGTGTTTCATAATTTTTAGTGATAAGCCAACCAGAAATTTAACTAAAAAGGAAATATTGAGGACTTTCAAATTTGAACTTAAAGCAACAAAAAATTTAATTTCAATATCGCAAAGACGTTATTCCTTCACATAAGTCATTTTAAATAGAACATCTGTACATAGCAGTTAGTGCATTGCACAACATAATGCATAGAAAGTTATATAAACTGATTATGCAGAACAAAACAGAAGTTTTAACTAACAAGTTATTTTAGTTTTAACTAACACGTTATTTTAGCTTTAGGATTTTCGAATCTCCATCACTAAAAACTGCTGTATTCTAGTATTTTTCTCATCACGTTACATTATGTTATTTTATCTAATAATATTACTGCATATACGGCCTCAAAAATTCCTAGTAATCTGAAGTGTTGATTTTACTTGTGGCATAAAACATTCATGAGCCACAGTACCTGAAAAATTATCAATTTTGAGAAATGGTGCCATTACACGTGTCAAAAGATATTTTAATTTATCTCTGAAAATAAGGCAGTATATTATTATAAAATAAAATAACAAAGCATGCATTTCTTAATATCTCATATTTTGACGCATTTTAATAATATATCTAATTCACATTATTTATAATTAATCTAATTAATGTGATTTATACATAATTATAAAATTCGTCAAAACTATATTATCAAACCTACACTGAGAGAACTGCGCTCATCGCAACTGCAGAGATGGCATGTGATCAAGTGGGAATATTATTTAGCTGCTGCCGGAGGTATTCAAGCATCATTTCTGCTACTAAATGTGCATGTAATAGAGAAGCTGCTGATTTCAGCATGTTCGATAAAGACCCGATTATCTTGGCTCGAAGGCAGGGAATGATTATCTCTGAAACGAGTGTTCACGAATAGACGTTGTCGGCACACAAGAAGAGCAGCAGATTCGCAAAATGGCGGCCAAACATGTAGTACACACCGAAAGGTTAGATCTTTATGTCTGTTCAAATAATAAAAGTTGCCTTGTTGCATAAGTCACAAATTTAACTCCTATCGACTTAACCACGACCAGGGAAAGTTCTGAAGAATAACTAAAGAGATGGAAAAAAATTAAATAAGAAAAAGTGTAAACATCTTTCTAACTACCAGCGCGATCGCTGGCCTTCCTCGTCTGCAGCGGCATTTTTCTTATCTTTTCCTAGGGAAGATCCATCCAAAAGTCATTTGGCAGCAAGATAAAAAAATTCATTCGGTGTAAAGTTTTACGAGTTTATCTAATAAAAGAATTCTTCACTATCAGACGAATTGAACTAGATGATTTACATTGTAATATATTTTTCAGGCATTATTTCATTAAGCACTTCTGGGAGCATGTCAAAGATAAAATGTGCATATGTGCCAGTGACAAATTTCATAGAACTAAAAGCATGATTACTGAAGATTTCTAAATTGCTTTGCTGTCAGCTTTTGAGGGTAAGTTGGGGCAAAGGGTTATCGATTAAATATGCTTCGAAAAACCAAGATTTGACTTATAGAACCTGGTTTTACTCACTACAAAAGTATCGTATCTCCAAGGCTTATTAAATACTTCCATGGAAATATCTTCCGGTTGTTTGTTCTGTTCAATTCGCTCATCTGGTTTCATGGCAAAATTAAAGACATTGTCATTTGTAGAAATTTGTGGAAGAAATGCTTTTTTGGTTTCAAGGAATTTGTCATTATCTGTTGCAAGCTTTGTATGCGTGTAATTCAGAGAAATAAAAGCACAGCTGTAACTTGAAATCCTTTCTTCGTTAAATAAGTATACAAGTTTGCTTTGTTAATTTGTGATAAAATAATATCACAATCAATCTCCCCCCCCCGCTTTATTTTGTATCGCTTCATTGTAGCACAATGTTTTCTGCGTTATACTTCTGAAGGATAAATTGTTAATCTAGTAGGGATTCTGTAACTACTTAACTTAAATGTGTTTCAGATAGTGACTGAAATCTACGTAAGATGACTAGATTGTAATGCCATTTAATCTTAAGTTTTATTTTTTTTTAATTTTTAAAATTATTTTAAGCTTTTCTAAAAGTTAAGGAAATTTTCTTTCAAGTAATACCTTATAATATGACGTGTCGAGATTGCAACTTGTTTTTCTTTCTTATTTTGGACATTTTCGCAACAATTTTTTTTAAATCTATGAAGCCTTTTCTGGCCAACCTGTTTATTAACAACGTAAACTGATTGTAAACTTTAAAGAATAAACTGAAAAAATATTCTCGCTGATTAAAATTTTCAGCTAGCTTCCAATGATGTAACTGCTTAGTTATGTGAAACGGAACACGAAATTTAACGTCTGCGTATAGGTTTTCGCAGATTAGGCAATTGATCATATGTTGTACAATGGACGCATGTTTCAGAATTTTGGTGTATGGTATTGTTTAAATTTAATATTATTTTTTTATTATTTACTAATTAAGACTCAAAGGTATAAATCAGTTAAATGGGAAAAGAGGCAGTTAATTGTTGAACACGAAGAAGGCAAACACAAATGGAGACCATACACGATCTGAATATCCTTCAAAGGCAAGAACAACGGAAATGCGCCAATTTAAGCAGTGAAATAGTTAATAAACAGCCTGTTCAAGGGCGCACAAGAACAATAGTTGCATTCAAAGAACGTGTTGAGTTATTGTAGGCTCGTCGAAATCACAAAAATGCTCAATAGAGTTGTTTTAGATTTTGAGATCGCCCTAGTAACTCTGATCAGCCTATTTACGGCTGCACGCAGACTTCACGGAATTGGACGTTACTCCCGAAAACCAAACCAATGATTACTGTCCATTCAAT